AGATTTAAATTAAAGGCAATAGCCAGCTGAGACAGTTTTTAGTGACATTCGCATTCCTGTCAAGGGTGACCCGAATTTTTTGCCGATTTCAGCAACCTACAACTACAGGGGTGTCCTGTCCCTGTCGTTGGGCTGCCGGGAAAGGCGCAAAAATTCTTAAATTGCGATTTTTGTAAAAAACCCCTTGGTCAGAAAAACATCAGAAAATCGCGCGTTTCGCAAAAACATTAGCAAATGATAAAAAATTTTCAAAATTTTGTCACGAATCGGTGTCACGTTCTGGATTTGGTAAAAACTCTTCATATAAAACTAACGACGCAAAAAAACGGTATTTTTACGGAAATTATTATAACAAAGCCACCAAAATATTACTCGTGTTGCGTGAAGATGGCATAAATTCGCTGGACGTTGGTGCGAGAATTGGCCCCATCGACAGTATTCGGCGAGAAATACCCTCGGTTTTCAAGGAATGCCTGCAAGGGACTAAATCAGGATGCACTATTGCTTCGAAAAATGCTCACTATACATAGAACGATTGTTTGTTTCGCGTGGGTATGATGTCAGCGATTTGAAGAAATTCGTCTTTTGTAAGAGCCCTGAATGCTCAGTCGTCAATGACTAGAAAAATGAACTTGCCAGGGAACCGCCAGGTTATTTGCTTGATGAGAGGAAGAAATCGATTGGAGCGACAGGCGCGCGCCGTAAGGCTGATCGACATCTTGCACGACCGTCAGTTGGTTGACGGTATCTTTCATGACCTTTTTCATCTGAAATTGGCTTAGCGTACGAGATAATTTAGAAGTAAAAGTTCCCGCTAAAGTCTCGGAAGAGGATCGTTTTTATGAATTTTGCATTAATCGCTCGAAACGGCTAAAAGACCCCCAGTTTTTCTAACTAGGGGTTTTCGATACTCAAAGTCCCTCGGTTATGTGAAGAAAATTCAGAAAGTCGTAATTTTTACATCGACATGATGATTGCTAGTTTCCTGCTCAAAAATCGCACGTGTTCCCTTGCCCATTTTTCGCAGCTTAACGCACCGTGGTAAAGACAGCATGATCAGTGCCAGTAGAATCGAATGCAAAGGCCAGGTCGACACCCAAAAAACCGGCAGACCCGCCCGTTGGAGGCGGTGTCGGGGTCTAAACTTTCATAAATGAAACCGTTCAGACTCTTACCGTAGGCATTGTCGGCAGGGTAGTAATGCTTCTAGGGTACGCATACATATTGAAGATCACTAAACAATAAAAAAAAGTTATGGCGCGGCGTAGATAAAGTGGCTTCACTAAGCCAGCCAAGCTTAAACTATAAATTTTTTAGAAGCCTCTACCATCTTTGTCGCCATAGTATTGAAGCAGGATAGTGACAACTGGGTTAAAACTGGCGTAGAGTGCCAGTTGTTCTTTATAGTTGGCGTAATTGGATTTTGAGAGCCTGCAACAGCTTCATTTTTTATTTCAAATATGCTGCAAGAAACATCTGCTTCGAATTTTCGTAAACCTGTCCTGTCCACGGTCTAGCAAAAAACCTGGATTTTTTAATGCCGTGGATGAATCCCGGACATTTCTTGTTATAGTAAGCGCTTTTCGTATGATACTCGACCGAAAAATTCATTAAGAAATCATCTCACGTAAAAACGGTTTGATCGCCATCTTTGATCACTACCGTGAAAGAATCGCCGCTTCCCACATCAAACTCTGTGACGACAAACCCCTGATTGGATAGATTTTTAAGGAAAAAAAAACAGTTTTCCCACCCCGACTCCCTTCGAGCCATCATTCTGGTTGATCACAACGGTGCATTGGTTCGGTGTCTGCGGTTCACAATTGTCGAAGCTGGCGTTGTCATAGGCACTTTGAATGACAAAGGTAGGATAGCTTTTTGTGTAATTCCAAGAGCACATGCATGTCGATGAGGCGATAGAAGCTGAACAGTCTTTGATTACGGGTGTCTGGTTCCACATACCAAGTCCAAGGACCAACAACGTCGTCCGCATGATCATCGTAATGAAGGGACTGCTACAAAAACGTGTGAGTTCGAATTTTTGAGAAATTGGTGCAAGGAAGAGAGCGTGTTATAAGTCGAAACCGCTAATGACCTCCATATGATGTGCAAATTTTACAAACCACGGTATTTTATGGAAGGCGTAAAAACTAATGAATGAAAATTGCCCTTGAATGACTGACTGCCTACAAAGCAACGCTTCTTCAGCCCCGCCCGGTCATTTTAAAACCGAGGGAATGCCGAACTCACTAATAGGAGTTTCATCGAATTCAATCGACTGAATGATCGAGTAAGAAACAGCCAATCGGTCTCGGTTCCATAAATACCCCACAAGAATTGCTCGCTGGTAATGGGCGTAGCCAATGCCCAACCAAAAATCATCCTTGGTTATCTTTGTAATGAGGCCATTAGTGGGAGCGGAATCGCAATTAAAGTCCCGAAAGAAGGTGACGTTTTGACTTGCCGCCAGATGGACTTTATCGTTCCTAAGACCCTCACTTGCGATCACTGAAAATAGCCAGCCAGGTTTTGTTGATGCTCCGCTTTGTAAAGACCTTCGCACGTTGCAAGAATTTTGACTCTTTTCTTGTACAGGGTGTCCCAAAAAAAACGAACCATCTGGCATTTCGCCGTGTTACATCCAATCGGCCCAAAATTTGGACTAGAGATGTATCGGACCCTAAATAACAACAATCCTGACTTTTAGCCCCGTAGCTACAGTCGTTCTCGAGTTATAACGAAAATACTGCTTTTCCCGGAATTCTGAGTAGTTTTTTCGGCTATCTTTTTGAACTTCGCATCGATTTGCATCGACTTCCGGCTGCGAATCCCTAATGTCGCTTAAAAACTTGGGTAATTTTGCGTTGTAAAAATCGCTTAAATCGAAGCTTATTTAATTAATTTTACTCTGCAAAAAATTTCTTAAGGTAAAGAAGGTCTTCCGGATCATTTTCACTTAATGTTTAGGGGGGTCTAATTACACGAAAACCCTATGAAAAATAGAAAATAAAGTTTTTTTGCCATAACTCAAGAACTACTATAGCAACAGGGCTATAAGTTAGGATTGTTGTTATTCAGGGTCTGATACACCTCTGGTCCAAATTTGGGACCGATTGAATGTAACATGGCGAAATGGCAGATGGTTCGTTTTTTTTTGGGACACCCTGTATGTACAGAAAAACGGCAGCTTTATTTTAGCAGAGATAGTCTTGTGAAGAGCTCTTTGTTGAGCTGACAATGAAAAGCATAGCGCATCTCTCTGCCTCGGACTTTCACGGAGGAACGATGCGACCAATGTTGCGTGCTCCGTAGTGCAAGTTTTTTCGTAAAAATTTCTCTCCCTGCCCTCTCCGAAATGTCGCTGCACCTCGCGAAATCTGGGGTCAGCTAAGCTCCTGGCGTAGCCTATTCTCAAGTAAAAAAAAATATGGAGTAAGATTTAAAAATGCTTGGTGGAAAAACGGATGCGGAAGCAGAGAGCCATAGTTTTTTTTGCGCGCCCCGACTTTCTTGTGTGAACGGCAAAGGCCCATATTTTTATTATTCATCGATGGAATTTATACAGAAAAATCAGAAGCATTTCGGGGGCATGGTATTGGTTTCCGCTACACTGAAGCTGATTCCGCTGTAGACGAGGTATTCGTTCGTGGTTAGCCTGGCGGAGCCAGTTCTCCCGTCCATTTGGAATTTGGCGCCAAGCACGTTGTTACCCGTCAGGCTGAAAATGGTTGGATCATTTGCTAGATTGTCGAATAAATTTTCTATAAGTGTTGAACCCATGTCTCTCGTAGGTGTGTGAGGCTAATTTTGCGTAGCTTCTAAGCGAACTAGGATCACCCGGTGCATACCTGGCCACTTCGGTCCCCATCGCGTCATAGAATCGTGCGTAGTCTTTCTCAATCTCCAACTGATAGTTGGCAACTGTGATGCACAACGCCGTGGTGTCGCTCTAAATAACTTAAGATCGCCTGTTTTCGTCGAAAAAAGCTTCTATGGAATCCCACCGACCTTCGCGCCATTGATCAGCACGGTGACATTTTGGTTGTTGCAATAGTTGCTGGTGCCCACCTTGTATGACCTAACAACGGCTATCTCCTAAGCCCAGGTAACTTACGGGGGCCATGCATAGCTCGCCGGTGCCTTTGAAATATCAAGTTGATCTGCTGCTCCCATAGCACAGCCGAATTTTTGGTCTATATACAGGTCGAGAATTCTTGTTCTTTTAACCTGTATCGCCATTCAAAATGTAGTTATTGTAAAACTGTCCGGCGTTATTTGCGTCGTAACGAAGATAGGCAAAGTTGGTAAAAGTGTCAGACAATCCTTGGAAAACTGAAGAAGCGCTTGCGCCAAACCAGTGGACCACCAGATGGACATCACGATCGACCAGTTTTGGAAGAATTTGCTTCAGATCTTCCAAATCGTTTGGCCTGCAATAGAATTAAAATCTTGAACATCGTTTTGGAGGCTAAAAACTTGGCGGAACCGTTTAAATCCAAATACAAATACACCTTTTAAATTAATAAACTGTTCAGCTTCTCATTCCCGGTTTGCCGATCTCAGCAAAGCTTGGTATCGAGACTGGCCATTTTACCAAAAGGCAAACTGACATCTCTAATCCCCAAAAAATTACTCGTTTTGCGTAAAGATGGCGTAGATGCGCTGCACATTGCTGCGCGAATCGGCCTTGTCAATAGTAGTGTTTGTAAAATAGCCCTTGTCGCCGAGGAAGGCCTTCACCGGACTAAATGGTGAATTGTCTTTTTCCTGATCCGGAACCCTACGGTGCGTAGTTGGAGAGCGGGTTCCTCGTCGGGACCGAGTTCAGGATACTCAGGAATTCCTCCTTGGTGAGGTCCCTAAAACATGCGTTTGATCGGCGCCTTGGTGAGCAGATTAAAGGAAATGACGCTCAATCCAAATTACAGCGGTTTTTTGTCAAACTGACCAAGGCACGGCCAAGTTGTTGGGTTGTACCGCTGAAGAAATCGACTGAATTGAAAGGCGAGCGCCATAGGGGTGCGAGACGTCCTGGACGACGGTCAGCCTGTCTACAGCATCTTGTATCACACTCCTCATCTAAAAGCGTAGGCGTTTGAAGGTTCGATCGATCTACTGTTTTGACGGAAAAACTTAGGAACTAAATATACCTGCCATGGTACTAGGCCCTCACGGCATTTGCTGGGTAGCATTGGTTTCCCAAAATGCACCAGAACTAACGAAAACCGTGAGAGTTTTTGTTTTTGCCTTCTCGCATAACCCGCGTAGCAACTCAACCTCGAGCGCATGGCTCATAATTTAAATGACAGAATCGACACAAAAATTAGCCATCTCTTAGTGATTTTAGTGCCAATAAACACTAACCGTTTTGAAGGTGTCTTGAACACTTCCAGTCGAGTCAAATGCAAACGCCAAATCAACGCCCAGGAACCCAGCGGCGCCTCCGGTGGGAGGGACAGTGACAATCTAAAGCGCTTGAAATTAAACAGTTGCGGCTACCGGTGGAGCTGTCGGGGTGGTTCCGAGGTCGCTAGGGTATGCGTTCATGATGAAGGTCACTAAAATCAGGTTTTGAAACCGAAACACCACATGTTCAACAAGTTCATCGAGCTGTCAAGTCGTGACACATACCATCGCTGTCATTATTATACTGGAGCACAACGCTGACGTAAGGATTGAGGCTTTTATATGCCTTCAAGGCATCCTTTTGGTATGCAGCATTAGCTTGGGTGATCCTGAAAGAGCCGGGCTACTTAATCGAGTAAAGCGGATAAAAAACTGTCAAAAACAGCAAATGAAACCTACGTAAAGGCCGTTTTGTCTCCATCTTTGATCAATACCGTGAAGGCATTTCCTTTCCCGACAGTAATGGCGGTAACGACGAACCCCTGCAAATGATTGCTTTTACATGACCCAATTCCTACCCCGACTCCCTTCGATGAGTCGCCCTGGTTGATCACTACGGTGCACTGGTTGGGATTCTGTGGCTCACAATCATTATAACTTTGATCGTCGTATGCGCTTTGAACAACGAAAGTGGGGTACGGTTTTGTGTAGTTCTTTGAGCACTGACATGTCGAGTGAGCCACAGAAACTGCAAAAGTGGAGATTCTATATAAACTAGACAACTCACCTAACCCAAAGAGCAGGAGCGCTGTCCTCACAATCATCAAGGCGATCGAGCGAGGCTGCTCAAAAAAAGGCAAAAAAATGGGGTTTGAACTGCTAAAGAGCCAGAAAGATAGAAAGATAGAACGAGAGCTCGTTATGCGATAAACTACAAAAGCAATCAGAAGCTGGGTGTGAGAAGCTTACAAGTCATCTCATTAAATGGATTACCTGAAACTCTTGTAAGCCTGCTAGCCTGATAGCCGATAAAGAAAATCGCTTTAAACAATACGCTGAACACTTCCAAGTTTTATGCTGTAATTGAGCCAAACCCTCCAGCCCACGGTGGGACCAACTCAAAAACACTATTGGCCACGCAGCAGGTCGACAAGTAGCGCTTTGCCTACAAAACAACCCCGGAAAGTCCGGCTGAATTACAGGAAATGGGCGTCGCCCCCATCCATGGAAGCGTGAAAAAATTCAGGGAGCCTTATCTGTTCAGGGGGGCCGTTTGTCGACCGGAATGGGGCCTGAGACAGGGCGGAAACAATGGCCGATAACGTGAAATATAGTCATGCAGCGTTGACGAGGCGCCTCCGGATGGCTGAGGCGGCGAGGAAGGGGAGGCACTTTCGAAGGCGATCAATAAATGAATGGCACGATGAATTTCCTTGAATTTCAAATTAAAATGGGAGGCTGTCCAGTTAGACGACTGGCTGGGCTGCATAGCGCTCTACAAATTCATCCGCTACCTTGAAAAATGGTAATTTGGATAAATACATTTTCTGGAGGTTTATTATTGACTGAAATCGAGCACAGCCTGAAAGCTGAGGTTTAGCACTTGTCGGCGGAAGTGGATGTTGCCGTAAATTGGATGCCGTGGAAAACATTGTATTCGTTGGTGGAGAATGTGATAGTTGCCGACGTTCCCTCCAGTCGGAATTTCGACCCAGCGATGCCCATACCAGTCAGGCTAAAATCAACCAGTATCAATGAACTGACAACACCTTACCTAGCGCGCAAGCTTCCGCTAGCATCCCAGAACCGTACATAGTCCTTTTCCGTCTCTAGCTCGTAATCCGAGATCACGATGCAGATAGCCTTCATCTAAATTGTAGCCTCAGCATAGGTTTATATTTTATAGGTTTAAAGATCCTCACCAAATAGTTGGCTTCAACCAAAGAACAAAACAGGAAAATGAGCTTGAAATTTTGTGCCCAAGCTCAGCGAGCAAGCGATTTCTGCGGAGATCGGATAAAAAAATGCCGGATAAACTATTGTTTCAAAAGCAACTATGCTGAAACATTTGGTCTGAGTTTGTTCGCGCATCAAGCAGAAATTGCTATCTTAGTGACATAGTAGCCAATTTGACGGAAAAAATCGACTTACGCCATCTTCAGCTGTCAGGGAAAGCTTGAAATCTTGGTTGTTGCAGTACCGCGCCGTCGGAGTGTCGTAATTTCTGAAGTGATTAGGAAAATTGCAAATCGACCATACGGTGGCCAGGAATAAGTCAGTTCCGTGGCATCGGCTGGGATGGTCTTAGCCTCGGCTTGCCCGGCAGAACATCCGAAGTATTTTGCTGAAAATGCAGGTACATACCTCGGAAAACTGGCAATGCCTACGTGATCTTGGACGCTTTTGAATAGTTTATAGCAAGCCCCAATTTGATGTCCTCTAACCTTTTCATAGTATGAAAAACCATGAGAAATTACCAACCATGCCCTTGCTAGGAGAAATTTACTACTTTACACAGAGTCTCTTAATTTAAAGCATTAATCGTAAACGGGTTTTCTTAGAATAGAACCACGCCCATCTTGTGCTGGATTTTTCGCTGCTTCCAAACCGAGCTTCCAAGTTTGCTAACTTACAGTGCCTTGTGCCATCACTTAGAAAAAAACTAACTTGCATCACTGCGAACCAAATAGCCTTGCAGGAAGGAATCGGGTGAATCTGCTTTGTATTGAACATAATCAAAGTTTGGCTTCTGAATGGAGGGTTTCCAACAATTACGTTATTGTTTACCGCCATGAATGCTTGGAGCTGGGCGTTGGGGTACCCGGAACCGAAATGAAAGACAACCATGTGCACATCGGCAACCTTCAGGGCATCAATCAATTCTCCAATTTTATCGGCGTCGGAGAACCTAAGCGTTGCGCTATTACGGGCGTCGGTTATAAGGATCTCTAGCCGCTACCAGAATTCTGCGTCTAGGTAAGGGAGCAGTGGCCCTTCGAGAGACGCTAACTTCTCTGCAAATGACGAATATAAAGTACTTACGCGCCCTGCGTAAAAATCGCATATGTTCGCTGGACATTGTCGCGAGTGGACGATTCTTGCGTGCCGGTCTTGAAAAATGCGTTGCTGTCGTTCAGGCCGGCACTTAGTGGCCTTATATGGGAATTTTTAAATCTGCAATTTCCTCACCCCTGCCAGACAGATTGTGAAGAAGACGGCCGGAGGACGCCAACTTGCGCCTCAAAATATTCAAAGTCGATATGCCTGCAATGTTAAAATACTTTACTGATTGATTCCAGCGACGGCGCTAGCTAAGTAGTGGTTAGAAGTCTCAGCGCAAGTTGCCTATTTGTTAAATGGGCACTTTCAGGGACTTTTTTTGGAAAAAAACAAAGATTTTTGCCGCGGCCGGGGGGCGAACCCGGGACCCCCGCTCGGGAGGCGCGAATGCATACCACCTAGCCACAGCTACAACCTGGCGATGGAATGAGGGGAGCCCCACGCGGCAAAGGAGGGATTGCCTCCCACGGCACGGGCAGGCAGTGCGCGCGGTCCCTACGTCCATGGGGTGTACACGTTGGGACGAGTACATGGCCCCTCCCTGAACGTGCGCTTTAAGGCAAATATCTGGCCTTAAGGGGAAGGTTCGCCAGCACAAACAATGTTTTCGTCTTCATTCTCTATAAATTTAACAAAATTTTGAAATTTTAACCACAGGTATGGTATTCAGCAATATACGATCCGAATCATAAAAAATTCTAACAGGTAGGCCATTCAAAAAATCTATATCAACCAATAGCAAAAAACTAGAAAAATAGGCCCCTCGGTAGTGAATTTATTTTATAGTCAAATACATAATCAACGCTGTTTTACAAGGGTCAATATGAAGCCTCTTTATGTCCACAATCCTCCTTCAAACCACAAGACTATGCTCCCCCTGACTGTCAATCCGTCTATTTCTATTTCTCAAATATTTGAACGACATACCAAGGATCTCCAAAGTTATTAGGCCGGTTTGTCTGCGCCATAGTTTGCAGCACAAGCCTGGCTCCGTAAGGCACCGTATCATCGTTGTAAATTGCCAGGTTCGCGGCGGCGTTCGTAATTACCGCTTGCATCTAAAACGATCCAGTAAGTCGTCGACCGGGACTTATTTCACCGTTTTGAAGTATGAGGAGTTGGTGACCGATGTGTCGAGCACGATGGCTAAGTCAACTCCGAGCAGCCCGGCCGGACTCGGCGAACCGCCGCTGAGTGTGACTGGGGTTGGCATTGCCGTTGGCTAAAAGGGGCCGTCCTCCATTTTTAACCAGGTAGAGCTTTCCACGAAGGTGCTTCACAAAGAAAATGTTTGAGAGCACAAGGTCCTGAACGGCCGAAACAAGGAAAATGCTCTATTTTGCGCTACTTAAAAACCAACCACTGTGGTCGGGGATGGCCCGGTCACGTTGACGGGATATCCATAGAAGAGGGCGCTCGCTGAAATTTTGGCATTCGCTCTTCTACTAATGTCGGCATGTCGATCCCCCCCATCAACAAATTGGCAAGTAGCCAACAGGGCAAAGAGCGCCCAGGGGAGAGGCGCAGAGAAATGTTGCTTTCTAGCGCGTATCCGATTGACTATGCCGTTGGCCTCCCTTTAAAACCCTGTTGAAAACGCGCTGATCCTACAACTGTAGAGGGGGAATCTTACCCGTAGTCACGCTTTTGCTCCAAAACATGTACACAGTCAGGACGGAAGCTTTTGGGAGATATGAGCCCAGGGTGGCGTTTTGCGCCTGGTAATCGCGACCGTGATCCTGTAACACCAGGTTGGCTCCCCGTTGAAGGCTTACGTGATGTTATAGATGTCATCCTGCAGGACCACCGTCAGCACTTTTTCAGGATCTTGGAATTTTAGGGCGGTAAAATGCTGAATAAAATATCTTTTGATATTAAGGCTTGGTTTTCGCACAATGCCTGACTTGCTCTTGATGGCAAATGCAAGAGATCGCTCGTGTTTTTAGATGAAAGCACGTGAAACCGGTTAAACAAAGGGGCCCTGGCACCCCTTCCCCTCCCCGAAATCGGCCTGGCCCGAAAATCTTTTTTTAATTTTTCGACCTACCGCGTTGTTTATTAAGGTTTTTATGAATATTTTTGCTCGTATGTAACCTTTTTTCCAACATTTTCCACCTTCAGCGTGTTTTTCCGTGAATGTAGCAATTTTCTTTAAAAATTAACGCCTCCCCGAAGTTTTTTGGCTCCCCGACACTTGCGCCGCCGACACTTGCGCCGCGACACTTGCGCCGCGGATCGCATATTGATTTAAACTGTCGTGAATTTGGTAGTCCGCGCCAATTTTGTATGTATTTGCTGTATTTTGCATCAAAACTTGACTGCAAGTGAGCAACGCCAATCCCGAGCGCTCCAAAGGCGTCAGGCGCGTGGGCCATCGCTGCGGATGGGCTGCCGCGCCACCTTTTTCGAAATCGGGGCGCCTGGCCGCGACGCGCGCTTCGGGCGCCCCGATTTCAAAACCCTGTACGAGCTCGCACCCATCCCAGGCGACTGTAGGCCCCGGTGGCACGAAGCCTTTTCTAGTGCAGAGCGGAAGAAATAGCAATTACCTCGAGACAGACTCAATTACCAAAACTCCAAATCGAGTGACTCCTAGCGCAAAACCATCTTACTATCGTTTCTTTAACCAGAATCGGACTCCGCGCGCGAAAAATTGCATCTTCAAGTAGTTGAAACTCAGTATCGCGGCGCAAGTGTTGCGGTCCCGTTTTTCTGAATACACCCCTGGACAGAACTACATTAGCCCCGAAAAAAGACGTGGGTTTTGGAGGCGGTTAATCGTAACCTATACGCATATAAAAGATAATGCACCTACCCCTACACCCCGAAAATCGCTGCCTGTGCCAATCGGGCATAGACGTACTGATTGTCTGGAGGCGTGCAATCATTCCAGTCATCAGCTGGATCGAATGGCGTCGCAATTTGGTAGGTTTGCGAATATTTGTTGGTGTTCGATGGGCAGAGCGCAGGCCCCAAGAACCGGACTGGGCTGAAAATTCGAGACTCCCTGCCCTTGGTCGATGCTATGATCGCTTTTGAAAAGCTCTACCTACCCACGCGAACGCTGCCAGCACCATGGGACATCATCAGCGGCCAAAAGGCACCGGGGCGTTGGGGGTTGGGTTTTGGCGCCCCAGGAAGATTCTAAAATACTCTTTAAAGCTTTAATGCGTCCCTCACCGCGATTTTAACTTCCGCGAGGTTCAAAAGTCTCAGCTATTTTAGGGGAATAGATCTCAACTGGTAAGGTTTGTAAGGTGGCGGGGCTGGTTGGGGTAAAAGAATGGGCGAAACTTATGGATGTGGGCGTACTCGTCGAGGGCCAATAAAAACATTATTGCGGGCGGCGTGATTGGGCGGAGCGATAGATACAGCGGGCGACCTGCAAGTGTACCTCGTTTGGGGTCGTAATACGGAAGGCACGAAGACAAAAAAGTTGACGATTTTGCGGCGCCGAGGAATTTGAATTGTTTGCCTACCCTGCTCGCCAGATTAAAGGGGATCGGAAATCTGGTCCACGCCGCGAGCGCTGATTCCCGACAAATAGCCTGGATGCGGCCAAGCGCGACCGCCCCCGGCAGGGGAAGGTGTTTGAAAGGTGGAACGCTCCAATTTAACAATTCTGGACGCTATTATTGGAAACTCACCGAATTTTGGTCGCTCACGATTATGAGAAAGCACCGCGATCGGGAAAATGGGTATTTGGCAAGGACAGATTACGCCAGTAATCGCAGCACACCTAAAAGAATTTTCCCGTGAACATTTCGTTTTACACAAATGTTTTGCATTTATCGCAACAAAATAACGTTTACCATAATTTCCGGCAGCGTTCCCCTTATTTTTCTTCTGACAGTAGGTGTCTCGTACGCACGGAACTTTGACTTCCGAGTCTCTTTGAAGGCGGGAGAGATCACTAAATCTTAAACCTTGTCCCCTAGCCGTATTGTTGGTTTTCTGGGCAAGTGATGAGAAATTACCCTTATCCTCGCCCTCTTTCCGGGTTCCGCCCCATAGGCCATAAAATTCACATAACACGACCATGAAATTTGGTACTTTCGCTTATCGGGCGCGCAACGGTCACCGGCTGTATTGCACACACGGTGATGCTGCCTTGCACTTCACACCCTTATATCTAGGTCTCGATAGCAATGGAACTCGCGTCGAGAAATGTGCGACCGGATCAACAAGTTTTCTATGGTACGGAAAAGCATACAATATGGCAAAAAATATTGGGTAGCCATTGGTACAAATATTGGGTAGTTGGGTAAATACTAAAAATTCGCGGTTCAAGAGCCGGAGAAAACCCTGCCCGTTAAAAACAGAGACATGCTTTTATGTTCATGGCCAGGCCCGTACGGGAGCCGAGATTTCGGGGGGGGCACCCGCCCAAAAAATTTTCGGCGACCTCCCCCCCGGTCGCCACTTTCAAAACATTCGAAAATAGCGACAATAACGGCGCCGCAGGCGAAAAAATTTAGAACACCGCGTTTGTAACGCTTAAATTCGTGTGAAAACACATGGAAACGGCGCACGCAAGCGAAATTTTGTTCAGCAAAAATGGTGCACTAATGAAAACGAGCGCCGCAGGCAGAAAAATTTTTGCGATAAAAAATCATAAGGGTCCCCCTTATGAACTTTTCGGACCCCGACCGATTTCGGGGGCACCGGCCCCCTAGTACGGGCCTGTTCATGGCAAACGTTTTATATTTAATGGACGGAAATTATCATCTGCTTGGGTTAGCGATTCTTCATCGGATGCGCGT